CTAAGAGCGGGCTCGGCATGGGGAGGTACCAACCCCGGGGGTTGCCGCCTTGCAGGTGTCGCCCGGGTGCCCGGGGGTTTCTGTGTGGAGCGTTTTCCATTCAGCGCCCTGTGCCTCTCTCTCAAACAGGACAGGCGCTAAGAGCGGGCTCGGCATGGGGAGGTACCAACCCCGGGGGTTGCCGCCTTGCAGGTGTCGCCCGGGTGCCCGGGGGTTTCTGTGTGGAGCGTTTTCCATTCAGCGCCCTGTGCCTCTCTCTCAAACAGGAAGGGCCTGTCCCAGTCAGCCTTGCCCTATCGACGCAGTGTGCCCACAGTAAGTACATCTCTAGCGTGCTTGCTACATTAACTCTTGCACCAGTGGTTTCAATCGAGCTGGTGTGTTCAGTGTTAAATGATCTGATTGTCCCACATGCTCCCAGTTTGGGGGATGCGTTTCATGCCCCCTCCCCATACAAACATAACTTGAAAACAAAGCATAGCTTGCAGTACCTATTTACCTACATGAGTTTCATGTGCAGACAGGTAGCTTGGTGCCCAAATTTTGCTGATTTGGCTGAGGATTGTAGAGTTAGTCAGTAGAAAGTTAGAGTCTACAACTTAGTGGCTGTTCCTTTTGCTTGAAAAGAGTTTGTGGTCTCTTAAGACATGTCTGTGCATGGACATAGGAAACTTAACTAAAGGTATGAATTTAAAGCACATGAACTACTTGTACAAATGCTTTCAGATGTAGTGGCCTTGGTTGACTTCAGCTTAATTTACTTATGCAACAAATCTAAAGTGAACTAAGGCCACTGTACATCTGAAAGAGCAGTCTCTCGGGTTAAATGTGCTCTAAGTTGGTATCTTCAGTTGATTAGAGTTAACTTTCCTGACTATCCTGTAAGAATGATCTTTGCTATGAATACAACAATGAGGTGAGCCCTCCAGTGCTGCTACTAGAGCAGTCTTCCCTCAAGAAAATCTGGAAGTCAGTTTGAAATGTTATTCATTTAATAAAATATATTCTTATTAAAAACTGTTTTCCTTTTCAAGTTATTTTAAGTGATGTTTATACAGGCCTTGAAATCTACTGGACCCAAATTTACATTACTTGTTTGTATGAGACAAGTTTGTATGACCAATCAGACAGTAAAACCAAATAACTACCAGGGACTGTAACTGAAAATCCAGTTGCAGAGACATTTCATTGGTGTTACAAATTTGAGTCCATTTAATTCTATTTAGGTTTTCTTATTAGATTGTTGTGGAACATCTTTACTTTACGTTTTGTCCGTTTAGTGTTCTAGTCACGGAGACAATCTTTACTTCAGACCAAAAAATGCCTTTTAATAATTCACTCTCCAGAACCATTTCTATATCACTTCTGACATGGAGTTTTACCAGAATTGTTTTTTTAGCATGTCCCCATGTGCAACATAGTCATAGTAGTTGAACTGCTGCAATGGGTTTTGTAATAAGTCCTTGTGATTGTTTCATTACTGTTATTTTTTGCCAGCCCAAGTTAGGGATGTAAAATCCCATTTAATTGGTTAAACTGGGGGGTGGTGCAGAAGGGGCATTCAAGCCCAGCCAGAGTAGCCCTTGCCTGTGACACACCCAGGCTCACCAGGGACAGAGGCTACTCTAGCCCCCACCAATTGGTAAGCATCACATAGTAAGGGTGATGCTTACTGGTTAAGCTTTCAAATCCCTAGTTCAAGTTTCATTTCTGCTTTTGGGTACCACAAAACAACGTATCTCCAGCTTCTAGGGATTGTGGATTGCTCGTGTGGATGTGCGCTTCTAATGATTAGCGCTGTTCCATGCGTTCCACTAGTGAAACATGGTAGGAGTATCGCCTTTATAGTGCATGTCTGCAAATGAATACAGAAATGTGCATATCCCCTTCCTAATATTTAATAGATTTACTGGATTTCAAAAATATTAGTTGTAGCTTCTTCTATGTAATCTATATTCATCCATTTTTTCTAGTGGTTAAAACTTACGTCTGATGATGTAAAAGAGCAGATCTATAAACTCGCTAAGAAAGGTCTGACTCCCTCACAGATCGGTAAGTTTTCTGAACTTTTATAAAGAATGGATTTTTAAACATCAAATCTGGGTTTAATTTTATTTTTGCCAAAACTTTTTGCTGACATTGGATAACTTAATGTGAAACCTTAATGTCTGTTTTGATTTTTTTCCCTGTTTATCATATGGGAGATCTGGGGAGTTAAGTAAAATTAATTGTTAAAGTGCTTTGGGGTCCAGAAGTTCTGTTGCTCTGGTAAGATGTCTCACTGTGATGATTGTTTTCCAACCATTCGCAGTTTCCACCGGAAAGGTCTTCCTTAATGTTGGGTTAGCCTTCCTTGGATGTCTGAGTGAGCCTCTGATACAGTATTGTAGGATTGTTAATAAGATTTTCTTGGCATAAAGTATATAAATTTTAATTCCAGGTGTAATCCTAAGGGACTCTCATGGTGTTGCCCAAGTTCGTTTTGTCACTGGCAACAAAATCTTAAGGATCCTTAAGTCCAAGGGACTTGCCCCAGACCTTCCAGAGGATCTGTATCACTTGATCAAGAAGGCTGTTGCTGTCCGTAAACATCTTGAGAGAAACAGAAAGGTAAACTTTAATTGTCACTCAAAGACCTTGGTCAAAGAGTGAAAAAGGTTTTTACCAAGATAAAAGTGCTTTAGGAACTTAAGCTAAACCTAGAAGAGTCTTGGGATTAATTAAAATTTCAATAAACAAATGAAGTATATAAATAGCAATGCTGTTGCAGCTTCATTTGTGAATTTTGGAGAGGGAACTTGGAGACTGTTCTGAAATTGCTATACATATTTGAAATAATACTACATATAATATACAAAGTGCAGATCAGTTTTCAATGCTAAGTATGTGTTTTCTGATCTTTATTTGACTGGTAACCGATGTCTAGGCAGAGATTTTCAGTGTTCTTCAGGAAATGTTGGCCATTACTTCATCTCAGTAAAATTTAAAGGGTACAGTTGATAGACTCGTATTGCTTATAAAACAATACCATTTTGGACTTCCCTGCCTTATACTTAAGTCTGGTTCATGAGTCAAAGAGCAGGATCAAACTCAGAGTGGGGATACTGTGGCCCTTTACAATTGCTGTGGGAAATACACAAATACTTTCTCTTTCACCAAAGCTTGTTTTAAGTGTAGCTAGATCTCTTTGGGTGTTATAATGGGAATTTCTTGATTCCTTTCCTTGCTAAGGATAAAGATGCCAAATTTCGTCTGATTCTGATTGAGAGCAGAATTCACAGGCTGGCTCGCTACTACAAGACCAAGAGAGTACTTCCACCCAACTGGAAGTAGTAAGTGTTCTTTTTGTTTCCAACCTGGAAGTCCAACAAGACTAGTTGACAGTGGAATTGAATCCCCCCACCCTCATTCTAGGGGGAAACACTGAGATAACACACGCACACCCCTGAATAAGGAAGCAAAGCGGTGCCTGCTTCCAAACTTGACTAGGTTTGAAAATCTAGTAAACATGTGGTCTGATATAGTGACCAGCAGCAGCTAGAGGAGCGTACATACAGAAAACCCCCACCTTATGATGGCCTGAGTTGCGACCAACCACTCCCCCCCCCCGGCATTTACGACCACTTTTGTAAGTGCAGAAGGGGCAGAAACCCTCCAACTTGCATCCTTGGCCCACATTTATGACAGCACATGGTGCCTATCGTAAATGCAGGTTTGAATTACGGTGCCCCTGACTTGCGATGCTTCCCCAGGAACCGATCGCATCGCAAGTTGGGGGCTGCTTGTAAACTGCAATCTACTGTACCTTATTTATTTAAAATTTGTCCTTTTCTGTGGTTCCCGCTTCACTTTAATTGCTTGGGTCAGATTGCTCACTATAGTGATCGATCAACCATTTGCAATTTCCACCAGAGAGGTTTTCCTTGGTGTTGGCTAAACTTTCCTTCACTAAGTTAGCTCCTATAATTCTGAAAAGCCTAATTTCAGCTAGCTAAGCTGTTCTTTGCTCCAGTCAAATACAGAAAAGGTTATTTGCAGCAAAGTTTGATGAAGTTGCTGCTGCATTGACAGCATCCAAATTAGAGGAAATTTTACTCAATAAACATATTTTTTCATTGCTGGATACCAATATTGGTCCAAAAAATCTGAAACGAATATAAATCAGGATGGCTATGCTTTTTTTTTTTTTTTTTTTTTTTCAGTGAGTCTTCCACGGCCTCTGCTTTGGTTGCATAGGAGTTCACTCTTTTTACTGAAAGAATAAAGTCATATTAAAGACTTGTGCTGTCTTCTAAATTGTGTGGATGTTTCATTAAATGCTAAGCTTTGCAAAACTGGGTATAAAGTATGTCTGCATATATCTATAAGGATATTAAAAAAATAGCGGTATGTGTAATACTTTGGATCACATTTGGAGGGGGTATGCAATGAACTGCATACCAGTTCAGCATAGTTGCACTTCAGAATGTTCTCACTGAAGCCTGTGCACAACCTGATCTGTGACTGACAGTTGCTGCTGAACATCCAGTTTCTGAATTTTGTCTTTACCTTGAGGTGCTATTGTAAAACCACGTTTTCTAAATTGTGGCAGGAAGGAGAAACAAGTAAACCATTTCCTTTTTCTGGTGAGGCAAATTCAAATTGAACTGCTGTGTTTCAGTCTGGGGGAAAAAGTTGGAAATACAGTGGTTGAATCCAGCCCTTTTAGAATGCCAATCAAACATTATTTGCTGTTGCAGTGCTTTACAGATGGGTATGTTCTTATGTAGAGCTTATGTTGCAGTGTGAAAAGACATGGTAATAGATGCACGCTTTCCCATTTGTTAGAACTTCATAATATCCATAACTGATGGCTCCTGTATTATTTTGCAGAGCTACGATTCCCTTGCTCTTAGCACTACCTGAGTCTGGAGGGTCTGTGTTTAAATAACCCGCTAACAGAAGAAAATATATATAATTGCAGTTGTACAAGAATAGTGTGTCTGATCTATCTGTGTTGTAATAGAGTAAGAGAACTAGCTAGCTGTAATCCTGCTTGAGTCTTATGCCACTAAAATCTGTCCTTTGCCCTTTTTAAAAAAGCGGGCTTTCAAATCACTTTTGGCAGGTTAGTTTTAAAATATTTTGGTTAGACACCTTGATGAAGAGCAAAGATTGTGCTCCCTTAGGCTTTCTGTACATATAAGGCAGAATTTCTTGCCTTAAATGTTAAATCTAGTATCCTTTTTTACATGAAGGCCAAGGGAGGCTTGCAAGCTTCAACAAAGCAATCCTTACCTGTTGTAAATTGGGCTTTGTTGGAATAACTGATTTCAGAGGCAAGCTCTTACTAGAGAGGCCTCCTTTCTCAGTGGTGTTTCTCCTCTTGGCTTAGAATACTATCCTAGGACTGGCTGCCAAGACCCTGCAGTTCCTGGAGTGCCAAGGCCACTGTCTGTCACACTGACCTGTATCATCTCATTTCCTTATAGTCACCAATCTGTATTTCTCTGTTTATTGACTTACACATTGCACCATAAGCATGTAGGGCAGGATCTGTGTGTTTTACGTTTGTACAGTCTGCCTTGCACATGGGGAACCTGCACTGTGATTGGACCGGGGTGAGTAACAAAGCTGTGACTAGCATTCAGTCTGGAGCAGATTTCTTCCTCTCTCTTCCCCCCC